TGCTCACCGGATTTTAATAGACTACGAAAGACATTTATTGGGTGAGTTGGACTGCGACACGGGCATTTTTAATTTTCTCAAACTGTTTTATGGCAATGAAAGGACACTATTTACTTAAGAAGTGTAAAACCATCAATGATGTCAGTTGATGAGTTTTCCCCTCGCGTGTCCTTGGCCTCGATCCTTCGTCTTTTTGGGACCATTCGAAAGTATTGTTTTCAACATTCAAACCGCATTTTTGTGCCTTTAATGCGGGATTTAATTGCCAAATTAGACTGTTGCGGCGTGGTGTAGAGAGAAATAAGACTGAAATAACGAGGGAGCAGCCGTATATTAAGTCGTGGAAAGAGGTGTGTTTGTGTAGGGTATCAAGTGCGGTTATGTACCTTCGCTAAGCATCGATTTCTGAACGAACACAGTTACATGAATTGCATTCACGTAAATCGATTGAATCATGTTCTCTCACGACTGCTAACTGTGCTCGCTTCAAGGCCCCACTAACGTAGAACACTTGTTCACACCTCCGATTCATTTAGATTTACCGAGGGGCCGTGTTGAGGGTCCCGTCATGTTATCTTGAACCACGCCGCGGCCGCTGCGTCAATCCAGGTCGATTACCCTACCCTGAGTACCCAAGAAGATGAAGAAGACCGGAGAGGACGAGGCACAAATGTTTACTAGACAGCTGAACCTACTTGTGTTGTGTTGACTGATACAGTTGAGTAAACTAGTAAAAATACAGGCATCTGAACGGTTACTTGAATAAAGCTGGTGGTGGTACATACAGAGAGGCGAATGAGCGGACGGTCTCAGTGACTGACGAGCAGGCCGTGAAAAGGACTACATGTGTGTGAGGCTGCGACGCCCGGGTTATTGGGCGTGAAACAACAAGATTCACTACATATACAAGAGAATTTAAGCAAATTCATTGCGTAAGCAATGACCAGATGACCTAAGCGGCTAGTTCTCATGGTTTCCATTGATCCCGTTCTCGCACGATTTACCAACACCGCCAAGTCTGACACCATGCTAGGTGATCCATAGATTGCAAAAGTAAATAACCCTTAGAGAAATAATTGGCATCCAAGTAGTCACTTGAAAGTCGCATTTCGTGGGACTGGATTCACCGATTCACCCTATTAAATCTAAATGATTTCCTTAGTTATGAGTCATACCTAGATTCTCTGCTGGCTTTTCTGTGTTAATTGTTTTTGGATTCATTCCAAATAAATCTAATTATAGTCCTGTGACGATTATACGCTGAATTTAATGGACATAGGCCTATTCATGTACAAATTATACATTTTCTTAAATGAGGATTGCCATAATTCTTTATGCATTGTATCGTGTGATTCTGTGCGGTTTGCCTGTGATGTTGTGGTCGTCCGGACAATACCTTTCTCTCTCTTCTCCCGCTCTCGAACCTCAAGTTAGCTGTTACTCAGAGTGGCTGGGTAGTGCCCATTACTGTTCTTGACTGGGCCTGTTAACCTCCTTGATTGCCTTTTAACCGAGAACCAATCACTAGCCTTTCGCAAGTTAAAAATGGGATTTGCTGATTGCTGGTTTCTGTACAATGCCCTGCTGAAATATCATTTCCCGAATCAAAGTATTCTCGATGGATGTAGGCTGATGGCGTTCCGTGATGATTTCATTTGCATTCCGTTATCAAAATGTGTACATTTAATGGCAAATGCATAATGTCGTAGCTATGGTGACTTGTTATATTAGGAGTTTGAGAATAGTAACGTCTGAATGTGGCACAAAATCCCTCTCTTCGTGGAGACCCAGAAAGTTTAAGCCGGCGGCCCAGTAAGTGGTGTTGACTTATGACCCCTTGCGAATTCACCCAACTCCACTATCGTTCTTTTTTGCGAGGTTTTCGGGAAATGTCAGGGCAGCATGCTAGGTTTCTTAGTCACCAAGATTTCCGTGCAAAAGGCCTGACGTGACTCTGCCTTAAGACGTTTACTTCCAACTGGGACTTAGTCGGTTGAAATGCTCGATTCAACCAGGAGGCAGGCATGTCAATTCAAAGAAGCCACTAAGAAGCCACCTCTAAACTAAATAATTGCCGATAAGTTGATGTAGTGAAGATGAAACCGAACTTTTAATGACCTAAGCAGTCTCCCTGACTAGTAAAAATGTATTTTTTGAACAGAATTATAACGTTTTGCATTGCATTTCGCCTTTTAAAGACGCTATATACCTTTGTTTTAAGAAATCTTCCCTTAAAATCTCAAGACCATTTTTCGATTATAATGAAAGATAGGCCATTTTGGTGAATCGACCTGAATACAGTTCCAGATGCCCGCAATGTAGAGGTTGTCTGAATCTAATGCAAAGTTATTTTCGAGCGTCACCTTGAAGTGTAAACGCATGCGGACCTTTTGAACACTGATTTTATAGTACAAACAAATAGAGCCCTGTTGATTTGACTTGTTTAAGTTTATTACAGCAAACAAATCAGTGGTTGACGCCTTATACATGCAAAAAACAGCAAAATCCAGGTCAGCTATTTCATGATAAGAACTTACTGGTAAAAACTCCCTAGTCATTCCCTTTTGCTGAACATTTTGTCGGGTCGGCATGTCGTATTGCTCTCCGTACCTCCTGTCAGTGGTACAAGAATTCCTTTCAACGCCTCTAAAACGAGTAATAAGATTTGTGATTACTACCCGAATTGTGCAGACCATTTACTGTATTTATGACTATATTGTTAATCGTTACACTAGGCCATGATTGTCCTCAGAACCCATTTAGGCCCCGTACTGTGTTCATAGTCTCCTTTTTGTCCTTTAAATCAGATTTTGGATGCAACCAAACAAGTGAATTTTAGGAAGCAAAATTATGATAAAAAGGGTTAATGTAAATCGTTTTATCTTGTTCACGCTTTCGACCTTCGCTGGAGCGTTTTGAAATGACAGAAAATAATGCTGTGTCATAGCGCGAGAACCTAGTAATGGTTTCGGAAATCTCAGAGCAGACACTGATCCCTAGTGTTCAACCATTAATTTCTAAAATAGACCGTGTGTCATATCGACATTAAAACCCTAGTTTGCATAAAGGCCATACTGTTGTCTAGCTCACTAGTGCCCAATAGCATTACCACACCACCGCAAAAGCAATTGGCTTCGTCCTGGCTCCTTTGGGCTAACATTCGAAATTAACTGAAGGCAGTCGTTTTTAATTAGGTTTCTAAGTGTGTTGCCGTGTTTATGTGTACGGTGCTGCCAGCTTAATTCACCTCCGATGGCTCTGTCTCGAAAACCATTTCTATCCGTAAGTTTTTTTTGAAAGACGAAGCAGAAAGTGGTGAGATGAAGGCTGCGTCAGGTCTAAAAGCAGGTCTGAAAGCAGTTGGAGCGCTGGTTTGCAGGTACTTGCAAGTACTTAGGTCTGAATTTGACAAACAAAACCGCGGTGGGAAATGTAGACATGTGATTGTGTTTGAATATGTGGATGCGTCTACTACGGTAAGTCTAAACTCATTCTACAACCCACGGCGCCTTAACCGTATATGTGGGTGAGCCCCGAAATCCAGTAATGGCTTGGAAGATACGAAGATTCATGACTAGAGGCGAAGGACTTTCGATCACAGACAATTCCGACCGTCTTGTGGGGATACGTTAGTACATCTAACCCGATGCATGTACACAGAATCCGATCACCATGCCAGAAAATGTGAGATTTCTTGATGAAATCCGTAGTCTTTTGTTGAGGCTTACCGGTACACAGATACAAGGTCCCAAACGAACACCTTTTGTGTAGCTCGTTAATGACTTTTGCCATACTAACACGCATAAACAAGCGCCTCCCCAAACTAGGACAAGACTGGACCTCGTGCAGAGAGCTTTTACTGTCTCAGCCACAGTCCAAGTTATACAGCAGAATGAACAGTTTGTGTATGCCTTGTATGACCTTGACCTACTTGACTAGCCCGTAAACTAGCTGTAAATGTGAGACGATGCAAACGTGTGACAATTGAGGTGAAATAGATGTGTGAATCACCTAAAAGTCTTCAATCCACGATGAGGGATGTTTTGTGGAGTCGAAATCCCAAACATTTTTTACTTATACATTGCTTGGGTGTTGGATTGTGCCATGAGTTGCTTCTAGGGATGATGTGTCTTCACTCACTTTACGTCGACGTGACCTGCTTTAGCGGTCGTAATGCAAGAAGTGCACGATGTTATTGCTTAGGTTAAATTTAAGTACGTGACTGGTTTTCAACAACTTCCGAATCAAAACAGGCACCCTGGGTCATGTTATTTGCAAATTGTTTTGTGTTTGAGCCAAGCATGACCCTGATACCAGACCCATCTTCAATTAGCTGAGATTGTAAGCAAATTTTGGTGTCAAAACACCGTATGTTTATATGAATTAGACTTAACAGGAAGTCTGTAACGTATATATATATATAGCAGTTCCATCGAAATTTCGAAACCGATTCGGACGATACAATGAAGGTTTATTTCTTGGTCGCACTTTCTCTCTTGGCGTTCGCTGCTGTCGCTAATGCGTAAGTCTCCTGTCCGCTAAAGTTGGGGCAACTGTTTTTGATTGTAATTTTTCCCCTTCATTTTGCACTCGTCTAGCCCCGTGCATTTTCCAGCCTCTCTTGTCCTGATTGCTAACTACAGTAGACTGCACCAGAGGCAAACCTTTACATTGAAACGCATAGCTCGTGTTAACTGCAAGTCCACTAAGTCCGCCATCAGAGAGCTTCACTTTAAAGGATTTGATTAATCCCCATTAGTTGAGAGTAGTGAAGTAAGCACTCTGGGAGTTCTTGCACTCCTGGGTTCCAGGGAACGCGCTTTTTGACTTATCTGAGGTCAGGTTTTGGTTCCCATCATTGTTCGTGGTTTTCAGCAGAAGCTACAAAGGTGCCAAATAATCGCACTGATCCTCAAAATTCTTTTAATATAAGTCCTTTACTTTATTTTGTCTAATCGTACTTCCCCGTCAAAACAAATCCAAAATTTACACCACCGGATATGCTTCAAAAACATGAAGGATTAGACGCAGAGGGCCAGGTGGGCATACCTGTCGAGTATTAACATGACGAAACACAATGTCATCAGGTCCAAATGTTGGAAGAATTTGTTGAATTTACCCGTTTTGGTGTCTCGAGGGCAACAAAGTGCCTAGGTAGAAAATGACTGTTGCGGCACGATTGGACAGGGACTAACTAAGGAGACCGGTGAGAATGGGGACTGCCTTCCTTCCACCACAGTAATAAATGGTTAATCTGTGCCTGGATTTATAGCGGTGCGAATGTGCAACAGTGGAAGGAGGGACATGCATTCTCCTTACCGACATGTTAAATATTTCAAAAGAAAACGAAATTCTGCGTTTACAACAGGAAAGGTGTTTTATTATGTAAAATATGACGTTTGTTACAGAGTAAGCGGTTTCGGCTGCTTTAGTTATTTCCTTAACGTTAAGTCAAGTCTTAGTCGGTTTGTGGGTGCATTTCCTGTGTCCATTTTATTGATTTCCACTCTCACACGTAGTCTACCAATTGACCTGTTATAAACAACCAACGTAATTAATATTCTTTTGTTTTCACTTTCAGTGAGGTAAGTGTAGCTTTGTGTTGGTAAGTTCTGTTCATTCCATAGGATTATGAAGACTCAGCAAAGAGGCAGATTAAGAAGCACGTCGAAGAAATTAGGCAATTCTTTAGAGAGGATGCCCTCGGACGCAAAATCGTCAGCCTTTTCAAGGAGTTGATTGGCCTTTTGCAGTCGGCTAAACAGAAGGCTCGCAGTGCCCTCAGAGCTCACGTGAAGAAATTGATCAAAGAGGAGGACGACGATTAGATTGCTGAAAATGTAGCCACAAGTTTCTTGTAGTAAACAACTGTCCGTACTTTCATGTGGTTTCTTTTTTCTGAATTAACTTGGTTTGGAAGGGGAGTTAAAGGCGTTAGTAGCTATCATTCTGCTACACAGTACTGATTGCCTACAGCCACGCATGGCTTCAGAATATTATTTTAAGACTGCAAAGTGAATGGATTGAAGTTTTGTCAGCAAATTACTAGTTTCGCTAAGTCAGCCAGTGTTTACAAAATGATTTTGATAATTCTGTGAATCTTCTTTTCTATTTTCACCAAGTTGATCGAGCTTATTCCAAAACACTAACAAAAATAAGGCGCACAACATATTAAAATATGCTAATGTAGGCTTGGCGGTTCGAAGTATTCAGGTTTAACTAATCAAACATTGAGTTTTGCGACTTCACCCCGTGAACGCACATACACTTCTGTCCAGCAGTCACATAGACAGGTTTCATCCAATACCTTACCAACTTTCATTGCCACGATAATATTTTGCCTGGTTGAAATCCTGCCCAAACTATCTCCCTCAACTCTGGACGCACGCTCTAAGTTCTTACGTAAACTTACAATGCCGTAACTGAAAGCGGTGCGCATGGCGTTGTCAATGGACCCACTGAGATGCAAGCCGGAGGTGGCTCATCTTGTAGGAGTGCATGATTGGCAGGCACGGGAATAAGGGTGCGTCCACTGTGTGAATACAAGTTTATGAAAAATGGTTTAATTTTGTACCTAAGTATACCTACCATTAATCATTGCATCCGTCCATATTGTCATTCTTTTCGTGTTAATAATTTCATGTGAGACTTAGATGATTCAATTATCACATTAGCAAGTCTCTTTTCTGCCTTTTGGAGTCAGGTTGGGTCCTGTCACTGGGATATTTGTCGAATTGGGTGGTGTAAAGGAAAGTTGTCAACGTAAATTATCTTATCATGCTTCTGCACTCGGAGTGAGCCTTCACTTTTAATTTGCATCTACGTGACATAGCTGAGTTCCTCACAATTAATGAGTGGTGCCGCCTTTGTGTATTCTTCAGCAGCCACGTCTAACGCTGTCTCCTAGAGACTTCAATCCAAATTCAGGCTTATAGCGTTTAAATATCTTACCTTCTGATGTCTGAAGAAAACACTGGCATTTTCAGCTGACCTTTCTGGGACCGTGTCCACGCAGAACTAGTGGCTAAGCCCCTCCACTTCACTCACCATGCCTGGCTTGTGAAGCTGTTTTCAGGTGAGACCGAGAATTCTGCCCCCCCTCAATTCTGATCTCATTCTTTTAAGTCCGCATCAAGTTCCAGTTTCATGCTCATCAACGTGGTGCTAAGGTGGTTGTCAGGAGCGAATTGCTTCTGCAAGAACAAGCAGTCTTATTCCTTGTAATTCCTGCTAGAAGTTTGTTGGTTGCCTGTAGTTTGTATAATTAATCTCAAACGGCCTCTCCAGCTTCGCCCATAGCGCGTATGAGTCAGCTAGCGTTCTCGAAATGACCAGGCAGCCATTGTACGATAAAACTTAATCAAAGATGGCCTTTTAGCCCCACGATTCTAATGATCACATGCTAATTGCTACCATTTTCGGACCCTTACTAAGCTCTCCAAGTTTGGAGTAAGGTAGCCCACAGCTTCCCCCCGTCCAGCTTCACCTGAGATCGTTCCAGGAGCATTCACTCTGCCTTCCCTGCCAGAGTTGTCGATAAGGTTAAAAATTCATCTGGGATGGGACATTGAAATCTTACTGGTAGCAATTAAAAATACCACATAATCTCTCTACCTTTTCACGCGCGCTTTCAATTAATTCATAAATTGGAAGTGCTGACCTTAGAACACATGGAAGGTCCTGTAGGGGGCAGAGAACACGGGTTTTACTACGGCAAAATTAACAGCTCTGCGACAAATTAAATCATAAAAAAGGTTTCCTTCCGACCCGACACTTCCTTACCAGTAGCATCAGCCTCATTTTAGCCAGTCTTAGTTTTTCTTATGCATTGGGTTGAGAAATACGCTACGGTGGGTTTGATAAATTCACTACATTGAGGAAAATTAAGTATTCTTCGCGGTTACTTATTATGCCTTTTCAACGGTCAATGGACGTTTTCAGGGCCCCTGAAATGTTGTCCAACAATGTGCATTGAACGAAACATCGTCTTAACTCTTGGATAGTGGTCGGAAAAGGTGAAAATTCCATGGACTCAGGTCTGGACAATATGGAGGATGCGGATGGACTTCCAAAGTCGGATGTTTACAATGAGTTGTTCCTCAACCCACAGGAATGTAGGCGCGCCTTCGCGATGAATGGCTACGGCGCTTAGACAGAACCGCCAGTGAAGCGCGGCAGCTGGCTGGCGTCCTGTCGCGAGCGGACGCCATAACTTGAATGAGATCACTCTTCCCTTATTGTTTTCCTTAAGTCGATGCATTTGGTTAATAAAGTGGTCGGATTGAACTGTTTCGGTATTTGCAAGAGCCTCAGCATAAATTATGCTTCCACAATCACACGTAAACAGTTTCTCGCCGGTTCTCCTGTTAATTGACCCTGAATTTGTTCCCTAGGTAGTTGAAGGTATCGGCATTTCTTGCGTATCATCTATTCCACAGACATTATAATTCACGCAAGCTAGAGAGGCGGCTACCGCATTCCTCCCGTTGCCATAAAAGTCGAAACATTTGCCTTTTTAACTTGTCAATCAATTGCAATGCCCTGAAATAAAATAAAACCGATTTATTTATCAACTCTACTGACTTTATTCTAACCAAATACTTAGTTTGTTTTGCCCTCCTGTTTGAATAGAGCTTCGCTTTAACAATTTCTAACTTATATAATAATGTTTACCTTTGTCTTATAAGTAGCGAGTCATGAGTCGGAGCTCAAAGGTGACTGCTTCTAGATTTGGTATTTATTGGCTACCTATGATAAATCACAGGATAGATTGTCTGTTATTATACGTGTCTTGTAAGTTCCATAACAAACTTGGGCTTACGTGTACAAAGCGCAGGTTTCTGAATCATGTCCGATATCAGTGGTAACAGGTACCTTGTAATAAGAAAATAAAATTTACATTAATTATCAGCAAATTGAAGTCAAACACGAAACGGTGTTCTGAGTTGTTGATTTACAGTGTCTTGCAGCATCTGCCTCAACCCGTTAAGATTACAACGCAGGTGAGATTTACAATGACGCGAAAATCAATGAAGGAATATACGGCCTTTTACACTTTTTAACTAACCCTCAATTCCGAAGAGTCGGCAGATGTCGCATAGGATACAGTCCGTACATGGAGTTGTTCAATCCATCTCGAAGACGACGGCTTGAATCGGAGTCAGAGTTGGAATTTTTTCGCAAGATAAAATTACGGTAAGAAAACTTCACCATGTACCTAACTGCTGTTCTTGGCGGTGGCTGAGCTCGATTCTAGGTTGACGAATAATCCCTATTTTAAGCCATTAGTCCGTTTAATGCGCCACTTACAGTCACAACGGATGTACTGAAGTGCTTAAAATGTCGTACATTTCAGCACTGCACAAGAAAGCACTGATGTTATCTAATTTCCCTCAAAGAACAATCCTTGCCTCCTCAGCGCCAGTGAATTTCCTCACATTTGCCGCTGGTGTTCAGCTTTTTGAAGGCATCTTTCTCTTAAGAATCACGTCACTGAGGTAAAACAACCTTGCTCTTTGCCGCTCTGCGGGAAACTTCGGCCCCAGGTTCTCAGGTAATCCCACACCTCGTTCCATGACATCCAAAAAAGCGGAAATCCATCCGTGTTCACTTGCTCTCAACAGTGTTTTAGTCAGTGTGGCCGAAGCGATCATGCGGATATCCAGGATTCAATCAGACTGATACCTTTAATGATAACTTCATCGTAGTTTTGTCTTAGGCCAAGCTACAAAACGACAACTGAACGTGGGACTTGAGAGTGATTAACCACTAACATGTGTGAGTGCATGCGCTCACTCAAATACCTGAAAGACGTCCGAGTATTAAATGTGAAGCATTTCGTCAAAGTCCGTAATCCCGAGGACTCGGGTGTTTTGTGGCATTGGCGATCACGTATCATTTTTGTCTGTAACGGAAGTTGCAAACTGACTATTCCGATCTTCATGTCGGTGGTCCGGTCCATGTAAATAAACGAATGATAATGAGTTTATATTCTGAATCCTTATTTTAAAATTAGAGGCTTCGTGATCAAAGGAGACATGATTTCTTTGTCATAAGCAAACTAGAACCAGATTATATGCTTTCTTAAACTGTTGGGACAATGTCATATTTTTGCACTATCTGGTTGTTACCAATTATCATGATTCGACGTTGTCGTTTTTGGTTTTTGAATGGCTCATTCAAATTTCCGCTGGCTAACCAGCCAATGTGTGTCTCGACCACCACCGTGCTACGCCAATTTTTGCTCTACCAACTCTATCTAATGAGATTCAGTTTTAATGTCATCAATATTTACCTTTCTGTGCCCTCTAACTGCCTTTTTTTAACGAGTCCTTCCACCTCTTCACAAATTAGAGTGTGCAAAGAGCACAAACTGCTGTGGAATGCAACTCCAAACTGGTGAAACCCTTTTTTTCATAAGGCGAATCAGTGCATCAAGCAATGCACTTAAGGTGTCTAAAACAGGGTAGGTTTGGGTTTAAGGTCATTGTATCCTCTAAGAATGCAGTCAACAGTAAAACGATCTGGCGAGGAAAATGTGCTGCTTTTAATGAGGTGTGAGCAGTGCTAGGACGCTGAACACCTTCGGATGCTTTGCATTGGCTCCGCATGACTGCGAAGAGTCTGTAAAGAGGCCAAAAATCACTTTACACTATCATTTGAAAGGGACCCGACTGCCTGATTAGCATCACCTTGAAACTACATGGCATCAGATTCCTACAGTGATTTTTTTCGCGCTTTCTCTAGTTATTACTAATGATACTTTATACGTAGAAGTTAGTACCCTAATTAACGAAATTTTGGATAATTCAGGAGGTGTTACCGTAGGTTGAATGGTGTTCGAAAGAAAATGGTATTTCGACTGTGGTTGTCGGCACATCTTTAAAGATTAAAGCGCTTAACGATGGATTTTCACGAAAGGCCATGACAATAACCACTGACGAACGAAGCCGTGAATACGAGAGTGGATTCCCGTCGGTGTCATTTTAGAAATGAATAACTTTTAAGCTATGCTGCTCCGATAATCACCGTATTTGGCTTCCCTCCTCATACCCCTTTGTTAAACGTCTTTTCGTCTCATTCCCTTTCTCCTCTGCTGATAGAATTTCCCTGAGTTACGTTGTAAGATGAGGAGGCAATGTTGGTAATAGGCCGGAGTTTTGTTCGTCACGCACACTTAATGCTGAAATCTGAAGTTTCATCCAATTAATTGTTTCATCAGTAAAAAGGTCAACACTGAATCAAGCAGGAGTAAAGAGACTTTCGAAGAGACCTTGAATTTGCGGATAAGCACCGAGGTCTCTGCCAAACGCTGTAGACGCAACTACGCACTTCCCACTAAGAGACCGCACACCTCACTAGGTCGGATTCTCCGAAAAAAACCACAACGGTGTTTAAATTGATATTTGTGTTGGCACGTGCATCGACTCGAGTAGATGGTTTGCACCCAGGCCGACTGGGTAATGGTGATTCATTACAATTAGTCATTTCGCGTGTGCGAGTGGAAGCAGGAATTAGGCGCGAATTTTTGCCAATAGCCACACGCTACCTTTATGAGCCCCATATTTTTGTCTAATTGCACGTAATTCCACCAGCTTGGTTAGCCGCAAAACAAGAGGAGCTACAGCTTCAGTAATCACGAGATTACCAAATTGGGGAACAAAAGCACCTAATTACTTTTATGAGTTCTGTAATTTATTCGTACATTTGGATTCCTTGACGATCCATGTAACTGTCAAATTGAAGGCCTGTATGACCTATCCGTTTAAGAAGTAATTGCCGTATCTCGCCCCTTCAATCAGAGGCCGGCTATCACGAGGTCAAAAAAGAGCACAAGTCAGGTCAGGCAAACATTCGTTCAGAGATTATTCATAGTGTTGGAGTTTGTTCAAACACTATACAACGTCAAGCCAGGTCGCTAAAGGTCTTACTGTTGCGTAAATGAGTCTCTTAAATCAAACTATGCGGACACAGTGTCTGGTAAAACCAAAATTGTTTGAGGCATTGATTGCTGTGTCGAGTAAACCATTTTCAACGCGATAAAATGAAGCTGCAGAATGATTCAATGTGTCGCGTGAACAGTTATAGCCAATGGAATGGCCTGCTGGGCTGCACACCATAAGGAGCCTCCGAGTTTCCACCTACTAATTCCATGCACTGAACCGGGGAGGTAAAAGGAGAGCATTTAAATATCGATAGCGATGATATTGTAAAGACATACAATAAAAGGGCACAACCAAAACTATTCAAATTAAATAAATTTGAGCCGGCATGTTTTAAGCCCTACTTTTGTTACCACGACACTAAACCAATATTTGACGTAAATTTTACCTTTAGGAGCCTCAACACTTAAAGGCCTAAATTCAGGATGTGCGTGCATAAAGTGGTGACGTTTCTCGGCGGGTTTATTAAAGAGGATTTGATACCGACTGTTTCCAATTTCCACATCCAGTGACTATGTGGCAGTTTCAACGTCTTCTGCAAACTGGTGACACTTCCAACTTGGGAAAGAACTGAAATCCAGTTCTAATCCAGTTAGATTGGAAATGGATTTTAATGAATAAGACATTAAAACTGTTTATTTGTGGTATAGTTCGTTCGAAATTTGCTTGAATAATAAAAATAGACAAATCGTTAGTGGAAGGGGCGATCACTTCAATGTAATGTTATTTTTATTCTCCATGTGGTCAAAGGCGATCGGAATTTTAGGATACATGTTGTTCCATTGTTGAAAATCGATTTTTGATGTCGAAAACAAATTAGTTCTAATTTTCTACAGGCATCTTAGTGATAATAAACGGTTTCTTGACTCTTTTTGCTCTCCTCCCTCTCCGATTGTAACAGACTCCGTAGATTTGTGACTGGATTATAATTTTTTATACAAATCGTAGTACATTTTACTTTCTTTCCTTAATGTTGCCATTTGGTCAGAGAACACGCCAATGGTGGTGACGAAACACGCAGTCCAGCTGCAAGTTGTCAAAGAACAATTGTGAATTGGTATTATGGCGCCCTCAATTTCAAAGTTTGTGGTCACCACAGGATTGAGCACTCACTCCGTCTGTCCGTGTTCTTTAAACCCCCGTAAAGGCGGTTTCTCAAGCCTTAAATGAGGCCTTCAACCATTTGAACCAAAGAACAACATCGTCTTGGGTATCTCAGATCTCAGCTATGAAAAATCTCGATGGATAGAAAGGACATGATGTGTTCATTGCTAAGAGTTCGGGTGAGATCTCTAACATGACGAAACATTTTCCTTCC